ATTTCATAGAAAAATATTAAAATATTTTAATTTTTAAAGTAAAAGTAAAGTTATTTTAAATTTTCTTGTGGTGTTTTATTAAAATAATATAATTTTTAATATTTTTTTATTTAATTTTTTATAACCCAGACTAGACCTATTAACCTCTTAAATTAATACACTTGAAATTGTAGCTAAAATTAATATAATAATCTTTTTTATTTTTTTATATGACCTAAAAAGTACATTAATTGCATCTTTAATATGTGTGGCACTAAAAAATCCTTTTCTTTATTCTAAAAGATAACATTATAGAAAATTTAATTTTTTGTCAATGCTACACTGAAATGATCAAAATATCAGCAACGAAACTATGCATGCTTGCTGTAATAAACAAGAAGTTGTTTCCAGCTTTATTTTCCTGGAATTTAACTAGGACTGAAGAAGGTACTTTATACCGTACTTTGAAAGTTCACAGTAGAAATTCATCTCCAACATAGATTATTGGATAGATGAGGGCTGCATTCAGAATTGCAGTTGAAAGTTTTTTTATGTGCATGTATGATAATTCTTTTTAAATTATTTTTTTTAAAAGTTACATATTTATAGTAATTTTATATATAAAACTAAAAATCTTATTTTAAAGCTTTTTAATTGTAATTTTTTTGGAGAATATCTAATTTTTAATATAATTACAAAATTATTCATTAAAATCTAATTTCATATAATTTAATTATATCATAATTTATAATATTTTAATAATAACAACAAAATTTAAAAAATCAAAATTATTAAAAAAATAATAAATATTATCTATTTTAATAATTATATACATTATAATATTTTTTAAAAATATTAATTAATAATTAATAAATTTTATTATATTTCATTTACAATACTTTTATATTTCACTTACAATACTTTTAAAAAATAAATAATTAGATACTAAAATAACTTTTAGTTACAATCAAAGCACAATACAGTTCAACATAACTACAGTTATAACTATAATCACAACACTTCACAGTAATTACAAGCATACCCTAAAATCCCCTAGCTTTCTTACTAGACATCTTTACCCTACCGAAAGGCATTAAATTCCCAATCCCCATACCACATTTTCTCAGAAGCTAAGGATGAGAAAAATTTTATCACTAAGTCGAAGCTTATTAGTCAATTCTTCTTGAGCACGGTAGTAAAATAGAATAACAACTTTTTTTTTTCTTTTTTGGTACTAGAGGAAATTTCATAATAAGTTCAAAAGGTTACACCTAAGTCAAGTCAATCAAAGTCGTTATTATCGTGCACCACACGATAATAACTAGTTTCATTGACTTCATGACGTTGGTGTAACGGAGGAGTGGGTCTTCAGGCGGAGAAACTTCGCAGATAGATCCAACTGAAGAAAAGTGTGGAGCTATACCGGACGATGT